TTGTGAAGGACATGCATTTTAGTATCTTACCATTCTTTGTTTCCATGAAGAAAGAACATTTATAGACTTCATCCATAGATTCTGTTTTGGATTCCCCTGGGGGGAAGCTCAGCCGCTGCTGGAATCTCACTGATAATTTTGATGTAGAAAAGCAACAATGTGCATGAAATGAACAACTGATGTCACAGCCAAATTAACAGAGATCATAAAAAATGCTTTTTCTTATCATTCTCCTGAATTTTTCCTAGCAGACCCTCCTTGCATTTTCTTGATGATAGAAAGAGGGCAAGAAAAAAGGAGGCACTGATTATTCTTGTGAGAACTTTGTATTTCATCTTAGTTTTGTCAGGGGTGGGGGTTGACTTGTGAGAAGTCTCATAAATCAGTGTCATTGTCCCTGCTCCTTTTATTTCAATATGGAATTCACTAGGAAGTTTTCTGGGAAACTGCCCTGAAAGAAATGTAACACAAACAAGAACACGTCACTTTTGGTATCAAGATTGTAAAAGGGTGGCTTGATGCATTTCCAAGGAAACAGAGGCAGATTCTTGTCCATTTGTATTGTTAGTCTATCCATTATTTTGCCTGGAGATGCCTAGGGCTCATAAAGTATTTCCATATCTTATCACTATTTGAGGTGACTGAGAAATTATTAAGCCCACTCAAATTTACACTGAACTCAGTTAGGCTTTTGTCCACTTCAAGGGTCTGTTTTTGAGAATTAGGATTTGAAGACTAAAGCATCTAGATTTTCTGAACTTCAGATCTTCCCAGCTTCTCATGTAATAATATTAAACAACATTTTTAGACAGAAAAAATATGTCTTGGGAGAGCAGTGTTGTGTTTGTTGGTACACAATTACACAATTTTAGATCTGAAGAGCTCACAGTCTGGTGAGGACCATTACAACATTTTGACTGTCGTGTCATAAATCTCCATTTATTACATTTCATCTGATTTTCACTATATTCAACCTAGCAGCTTGCATTATTTCACTCAATTGCACAGGGTAGCTGGTATGTATGTACTCATATGGAACTGTACAAGTGGATAATAAAGTTTATCACTGCAGTGAGAGTTAGGGCTGGCAAAAAAGAGTATTCAACCTAATGACCTGAAGAAATATTTTCCAAGAGAGCAATTCACCTTAAACACTGTACAGTGTTTCTTCCTAGAAATCAATGTTATGGATGAAAAATTCAGTCTTAATTTAAGTCTGAGGCCTAACTCAAAAAGGGTATAGTATGAATCTAGTTAAATACAGAAGTGATTTTGTTCCCAAGGGGCCTAAACATTCACAATAGTAAGACTACCTTGTCCTTCCAGGCTACTTTCAGTCTATGTCAGGTATCATCTGGATATGTTTGATTTAGTTAGGAGCAGCATGGTGCTTAGAAGTCAGGAGAGCCCAGTCAGACAGAGGCTAAGAAAATAAATTTGGCATTCATAGAAGTGACATTTGTTCGTCCTCTTTTGTTAGACTGAGCTTGTAGTACTCCTACCAGAAGGAGACAAGAATAACCCAGCATCCTGGGCACTGCTAAGTCAGCCATGACCCCACAAAGCTGCTGAAACTGAAGTAAAAATGAGTCCTCAAATATTAACTTTCCATTTGTGTAAGAACTCATCTGAACTGTGCAATTGTCCAAGACTTATAGTCTGGGCTGATCACTAAAATGAGCCTTAACTGGAAGCACAGCTTGTGTCAGCCTCAGAAATAATGTTGAAGGAGGAATCTTTTTTACTTCAGCCCTTCAAGCATCTCTTGTCACAGCATTTAATCCGTTTCTCAGGCTCTTCTTTTTCAAATATGTCCCTGTACTGGCCTCTACTTCAGCATTAGTCCTGTCCCACATCATAACGCCAAAACAAAAATACAAAATGCTGATATAAAGATGTACATGTCATCAATAAAGGTGTGGATATTTCAAGTTATATTTTTCCCTTAGCCCCTTGCTCCCCAGGCTGTCCTTAAGATGTAACTAAATAAAAGATCACAAGGCTCTAATGTCAAGTGTCACTGTTGGCTCATAGCCTCTCATTGCTTCAGGGTAGCTTCTCCACAGACTTAAGTTATGAAAACCTTCTAGATTCATTCCAAGTCAAAGAAGGAGAGAGAAATTAAAGAATATGGACAAGCAGGGATTTACTGTTTGATTTTCCTCTATTCTTTTGTTTTCTTTTATTTTCTCTATTTTCTTCCTTTCCTATATATAGAGCAATAGCATAAAGCTATAGCCCATGTGATTGAAATATAAACTTGACTCTAACCTAACTTGAACCCCAGCTCTTGAAAGCATCCTCAGACCTATACCATACTATATCAAAGAAAGTAGCTCAACATAGCAAAAAGCTCACCTCTGACAGCCAAGAATTATCCACATTCCTCCATTCTTATCCACATTGTTAACAAAATGGCCTTTGCCCATTTCCTTAACAATGGTTAATGATATAGATATAGATATAGATATAGATATAGATATAGATAGATATATAGATAGATATAGAGATGATAGATAGATAGATAGATAGATAGATAGATAGATAGATAGATAGATAGATGTACACATAAAGACCAAGTCTTTAGGCTTTAGGTTCAGAAAACAGAAGCTGATTAGCTGAAGGGTATTTTTATAAAGTTACAAACTGTCTAAGCCAGGAACAGATTTTTAGTTTGCATCTCCTAGAGCTATTAATTTTGGAGTTGAAAACTTTGTTTGAGGAAAGGCTGTCCTTAAATTAGAGCTGTGGTTCTTGTTCAGTTAAAGGTGATTCACTTTTCTCTTCTGCCACATAACTGAGATTTCACTTCAAGATTTAATTCATAACTCGTGCCCCGTGCCATCAGGAGAAGCAGCAAGTACTTGAGCCACTACCCATTCTCCCAAGAGATCTCCAGCAATTATGTATTTACTGAACTCTGCACAGTCCCTGAACATGTACTTTTCCAAAATTAAATGGACTCATATAAAGAGGCACCTGTCCTTAACTTAAAATATAGTCTACTCCTACCAAAAAACTGAAACAAAACAAAAAATAATTTAAAAAAAAATCAAAAAATCTACCTTTAGACTGTTTTATGCAGTAACCTTAATCTTTGCCCTATTCCTGAAGTAAACTATGAAAATCCAGCCACCAAGACCTGTGCCCTAACAATGCCTAGTACTGGTTGTGGCACCTAGGATTTAAGCTGATCACATTGCTCACAAAGTACTGAAGCATAAATGTTTCATACAGGTCATTCTGAACATGAGAAAGAAGATACTTCATTGGAGTCCCCACTTACAAATTATCTTTGTAATTTTTTTTTTTTCATGTGGAAAATCTGCTAACTTATTGCAGTAATCTGTAAATGTATGTATGTGCATGTGTGTATGTATGTGTGTGTCTCTGTGTGTATCAAAACTCTTTTATCAGAGGTAGTTTCCATTTTCACCATTTCCCACTGGAAAGGGTATAAAATAAAGAATTTTAAAATAATGTGCAGGCAAAATAACACCTCTGCTTGAAACCAATTTCCTGTCATCTCACCGTTTCTCACAGTTAGCAACAAGTGCTATACACCTCACTCCAAATAACTGGCATTGCACTCTTCCCAGTCTAAAAGTACTGTGAAATATTAGATGTAAATTTGCAAAAGTGCTTAGGTGCTACATGCCAAGCAATTCCAATTGCAGAGAGATTTCTGGGTATGCAGTGACAGCACATAAAGAACATAATACAGGTTATGTTCTCATAACAGCTCAGGTGAGGCTGTGCGTGGTGGTGTCTGTCTTAACTCCTAGAGTGAGACACCGGCCACTTCTTACCTCCATGCACTTGTGCTTTTCTGGGGAAGGAGAAGATGTCCATGCTGGAACAAACCTCTGTGGCTTGCAGCCAAGTGTGAAGCTAACAAGCATTGCTGTCAGATCTATGGGGAGCTCCATGCCTTCTCCACACAGCTGCTGTGGGACTGCTGCTTACAGCAGCAAAGCAGGCATGGGTCTGTTTCGGAAGGAAGTCTGCTTAGTACTTTCTGGAGCTTAAGTCTGATGTATAAAGAGGAGACCATGTGAAGACTTTTGTATATCGTGTTAAATTTACAAGCATCATCTGCTTAAAGTTGATTAGTTGCTGAAGAATCTAAATGTAACATAGGAGACAAAGATCAAATCTGATGTTCAAAGGATATACTGTAAATCCAGTTTATCACATGGCTATTCCCACATAAATGATGATAAATTTTTTTCTGTGTATAGACAAATGTATGATTCGTGGCAAAATCTTTTTTGTTGCCATGAATTTCTGCTCAGTTCCTTGTTTTTTACTTGTTAATGAACATTAACAAGTTAAAAGATTAAATTATTTTGCAGAGGGGCTCTAATGGAAGTTAAGCAAACTTTTTTTTTTTAATCCAAAACATACAAACAATATGTTTCTGCATACAACTTACAGACATGTTTTGAAAATGTAGCAAGGCAAACATGGTTTATACCTATATACTATGGCAGAAATCCAATATTCATCTGCTGTTCATATTGCAAGAAAATGAGATCATTAAGGTCAGAAAGAACAGCTGCTTTAATTATAACACCCTGATATATCATAACAAAATTTTCATCATCTCACACAAACTCTAAGAACATACCCCAGGGATTCATTTCTCTCATCCTGCTTTTTCTTGGGAAGGAGCTTACATAAGTACACTCCAGAGCACTGACTGCTTTGAGAAGCTGTGTAAAACAATTTTACCCCAAGCTCAATAATGCTATGGCAACTAATAGTAATCTAACTTTTAAAGTCTTTATTCCTCTTTCTGTGGTGGCAGCAGTAGGGGAAGATATTTTTGACAGCTGAGAAAGCTGCCCTGCAGGCTTCACAGTGCTGCTGCCACACATCCCCCCAGACTCCTGCTGAGGAGTGCTCGGTATCCACACCTACAGCTGGCAATGCTGGTCTGCCTGAGGAACCCAAAGGTATCCCTTCTTTAAGGGAATGGCTGCTTTGTGTTTTAACAGATGCTATGCTTCTGGTAGCGGAGAGATTAGAGGGACCATTCAACATTGAATCAGTCATGGATCCTATTGATGTCAAGATTTCTGAAGCCATCATGAACATGCAAGAAAACAGCATGCAGGTGTCAGCAAAGGTACTGTGTGAGTCGTGCCTTCTCTGTTGTTGAATGTCACGAGTGGGGGGAAAAACATCTCCACCAATTTTTCTGTCTAGACTTTAAGAAATATTGTCCAGACCACCAGAAATTACTTTTGTTTGTTCAACAGCTCACCAGACTGCCTTTGAATTCCTCACCTAGTTAAACAAGCTCATTTTTTTCAAAAGGAAGTGGAAGGGAGAAAGCTACCATTTATTAAACTTCAAATTAATAGCTGTAAGAGATTTAAGGAAAATAGAGTGCTGAAAACCAGCAGTAACTCTGTAAGCATTATCCTGCGGAGTAAATTTGGTAACTTCCACTCGTGTCTCATCTGTGATTCTCCATATTAACTTCCAAACACATTTTGATTTATCTAGGTCAGACTGAAGCACAATGTGTTTGAGGTGAATACACAAAATGTTCCATTTAACCTCCTTTAATGGCCACTCTAGGGAAATACTACATTGGCCGGTCTCTGATTACCAGAGCTCAGTTTGATAGAGTTTTGTCTGGATTCTGACACAAAGATAAACAGACCTAATGATACCAGCTTCCTCCTTTCCATTTTTAATGTGTGTGTGTATACACAGATCACCACTACCTCTGAACCCCATACTAATAAGATCCTTCGAATTCAGTAGCAGGTGCTGGTGAGCCAATAGCCAACAATTAATGGCTTTGCCTTAACATTCATCAGTGCACTGAAATTCTAAAGTCAACAGCTTGCCAAGTTATCTGCATTAGGAGCTTCTATCCCCCATCTAAATCCCGGTAGTCACTTATATGCTGGCCAAACTGCCATCTAAGTCAGTGATTTTCCATTGCTTGGAAGGAAGCTGCTGTAGCTGGGAAAAAGTGGGGGGACAAAAAGCAGGAGCCTGAGGTTTACATTCTTCCTGTCAACCCAAAATTAGATGCTTTTTATGTCCCAAGTGCTGCAGGTTACTAAGAGTTTCCTTCAATATGCCATTTGCTTTCAACCTACATGACGTTCCTTGGATTTTAAAAGCAGTCTACATCCTGCAGGATGAGACTTTATTCTGGCACCAGTGATCAAGGTGTTTAACAGCCAAATTCTCTCAAATATTTTGGGAATTAAAGGCTAGCTTCAGCAAACCCAGCCCTAACCTCAAAAAATAAAAAATATTTTCACTTAAAACTCACCCCAGGCCCAGGTGTATTTTGTTTTCCTTTTTACTTGTTTGGTTTTCACAGTTTTCCCATAAGCTGGAAAGCTACATCCCCTGCCAGAGTCCAATGATGTTTTGGCATGAGCTCATCTCACTACTTGTTTGTAGCAGAGCAGACTGTTTCTCCTGTCCCTAAAAAATATTTTATTTACTATAAAGATTAATACCAATACCATTTGCAATGCAGAGGTTTTTCTTCTAAGAGAAACCTCAGACAATATTATTTTTAATCTTGCAGAACAGAAAATAAATCATATCAGAAAAATTTATTTAATTATATTTTCATAGATAACAGAGCTCTCTATCCTTGAGGGACCTCTGTATATTCTCTGTGGACCATTATTCTCCTGAGATGTGATTTCCTTGATTTCCTAGGTTATATCCATCCTTTTTCATGTAACATGGAAATGCTTTACACTTAAAAAAAAAAGGCAAAGGCTCTGGTTGTAGTGCTGTCCTCTTCTTATGCCAGGTCAGACCTGCAGAGATGATATACAAGCAGACTTTGAATCCATCCTCTGTCATCTAATTTTTCCCCCTTATACATATTGACCACTTAGAGCTTCAGTGGAAATGACAGATACCTCACCAGATGTAATGGGGTGCATGGAATGCAATTACAGACCTAATGTGGAAGAAAAGCCACTCTCGTCAATTATTCTGAGATGCCACTCAGACAGCTTCAAGCAGGGTGTTGAAATCATGGTCTTTTCTATCTTCTCATTCTTCAGACAATTTTGTACCTTTTATTTGACTGTACCTACTGAAAAATGTGGTGACTAGGAATCATAGCTATTTTTCCACAAGTCAGTCAGTGCCTTTTTCACAGTGGAAAAATGATGATGCACTAATAATGTTATGCCTGCAACACCCACATACACATAGATTGTTTTTCACCACTGACATGCAGCCTTTTCTACTTAAAAATCTTGCTGATGTCTGGGAGAAGACTCTATGTTGTATTCAGTAGAATTTCTGGCCATGTTATATAATGTTGTTTTTCTTTTAAAAGGAATGGAATAAATGAAAAAAAAAAAAGGTTTCTTCCTCAAGAAGTTCCCACTTGCTTCATCCTCTTTGTAGGCACAAAGAGGATGTAGAAGACACAAAGCTTATTTAATCCAAAATCCAGTGCTCCTGTTTTAAATAGTTATATAAATTTTCCCTATTCCAAAAATCCAAGAAAAAGCCAATGACTTAACTATTAGTCAGTGCAGACAGTCAAGGCTTATTGCTTGAGTTCACTCCTTGTCTTTCATTTCCTTAGAAGACATAAACCCTCTTCCTCTTTTGATGGCTGTATGTCAATACTGAGAGAATTATAGAGATACCACTTGTACCTCTTCTCTCTTTGTCCTACTGACAAGGGACATTCAGACTCAAGCACATTCCAGTATTTCTCACTGCATAAAATGGCACATCTCTGTTCCCAGGCCATTAACTTCTCTTGTTTGTGTGATGATTATAGTCAATTCTTCTTGCACAGTTCACATTAAACATGTGCTAGTATTATGTTGAGATCCTCCAATTCATGACGAGGCTGCAATCTTTCTCTGTTTACTTGGTATTTCTCAGCAGTTTGTATTCAGCACTGGCTGCCTAGGAAGTCTGACCACAAATCTCTTGGCTTCTTGGCTGCTCACCTTGCACAACTGTCATGTCCCTTAATGACAGCCACACAGAATCCTTATTTTGCCTCAGGGAAAGTCCCATTCCTGGCAGCTGTGACAACTGGAAACTCTTGTCGAAAAAGAGCAACAGTAGAAAGTCACATCCCAAGCCCCAAGGCCTTTCTGCTGGAAGGATCTTTGTGCTCTGAGCACACCCAAAGTTTCCCTTCTCCAAGAGAAGACAAGGACAGGTGATCATCGAAACTGGTTTCTTTAGATTCCTCATCTAACACCTGCAGCCATTCTTTCATAGTACCTTCCACAAACCAAACCACAGAGAGTGCAAAACAATCAGCCTGGGCTGCCTGAGACGCCTCCTGCGGCATCAGTACCTTTTAAGAATAGGCCTTTCAGCCTGGGTCTACCCAGACTAGAGTAATGTTCCCTGAAGGTTGCCTCTGGCAGAAGTCAGGGTGCAGTAGATTTACCTTGGTTTTCTGCTTACAATAGCTGAGACAGGATATCCTCTTTCTTGAAATCTCTCTGTTACTCTTCAGTGACAGATTTTTGGTATTTGAACAATATAGTGCTAAATTCAGTGTTCAGCAACATGTTGATTAGATTATTTCTCAGGCAAAATTTTTACATTTTGTGCATTGTTTCCCAAGGTTCAGCTCATATCTAGCTTAGTCATAGCATACATTTGCCTTATTTTCATTCTCATTCTCCCTGAGGTAATTCAGGTAGTCATATTCAGTCATAACATATAAATGCTTATTTCAATCTTAGCCAAAACAAGCATGTTTTGAGAGCCTTCACAATTTTCCCACAAGGCTGTCAGTACCAACACCTTTGATTCCTGCTTCAAGTCAAAAAGTATGTGCTACATCTGCTCCATTTTAAAAACATGAATGTTTACTAGTTGATATCTCCAGAGATTGCTCATTCACAAGTGGTGGAAAACTCAAAAAACAGTGCAAAAGATGCAAACACCCATTTTTTTTTTGAAAGTGGAGAAAATTCCTACTCTGGTTGCATCAGCATAATCGTGTCTCCATTGCTTCTTAAAACACAACATATTGAGCTATTTCCTGCAGCAGCCTGGTCCTATACAGGTTGTTATTGTTAGACTGCTGTGAGAGTCATTTGGCTGCCATGACCAGATTTTTCCACTTTCATACAGTCTATCCCATAACAGAGTTTCCCTTTAGTAAGTTCTTGAATCTGCTTTTATCTGAGTTGATGGATGTGCCATTTTAACCTATAAATATATGTTCCTTCTCAGCAATTACTTCAGCTAAATGGATGAATGAGCTCCATGACATAGCAGACTACCTATGCATTATTTATAAGGAGGATATCTTCACAGAACTACATCCAAGGTTCTTCTTAAAATAGTCCACAAGTTTCATATTAAGAAAACCTCTTCATTTATCTGTGTTCTTTCCAGAGCTCTGTGCAGGAAAAATATAATGGCATTTCAGGTAAAAAATCAATGCTCTTCTATCTGAAGAGTCAATGGAGCAGAATCATAGAGAGACACTCAACTGGAAACACTGAGCACTAGCACATGGATAAATAACAGTATGACCCAAGGCTTCACAGAGAACAAACTATGTCTTCTGCAAAATTCTAAACTTCAAATTCTCCTGGGAAAGGGGCTCTTTTTTTCCTACAGTATCTACATCCTGGTCCTGAAGGAGATACTTCCATTTAGACAGCTCAAGAGATTTAATTCTTCACTGGCTCTGTTGATTTGTTCTCATGGCTTCGTTCATATCCTTGACCATAGAGATCTGGTCCATTTGAGCTTTAACTGCAGTTCAGTGGGAAATGGTTTCATGTTATAAAATCTTAACAAGTGTCTCAGATATCCCAGAACATCCCAAACTACTGTAGATGCTGATGAAAGAGAAACAGAAGGCAGCTTCTGATCTCCTCTATCTTAGATGTATAGCCTAAATGTAGACACATACAGGATGACAATTAAAAGTAGCGTTCTTAATTTCAAATGTAATCCATTCTCTAAATTCAGATTAAATGGACTGCACCAATTATATATAAAATACAATTTTTTAGAGAGTGGGTTTATGTTACCAATTCACAGCATGTGCAATGAAACAATATTTTTCCAGAAATTGTTCAATACCTCTGAGTAGCATTGCAAAGAAAGTATTTCTTGTGCTTCTTCTTAGGAAGCATTTGTTAATATTATTATCATCTTTACATTTTGTGTTCTGTCACTTAATACCAGGATGTAAATTAAAAAACATCTCTTTTGCACTCAAAATTCAGTTGCTGACTATTGTATCCTTATTGCATTTCTGTTAGGTCATTTAAAGAGCAAGTTATTTCTTTTTCTGTGATGTAAATAAATCTAAAATTAAATAATTAGATTAATTAATTAATTATATCTGTTAAATACTGTCTATTTTCCATCTCTATTATTGTCTGACTGTATGTAAATTGGTTTGTATAAAACCTCTTGCTTCAACTATTTGTATGAAGATAAATGCCACAAAGTCTCTGTCATCATAAGAAAGATGAAATATAAACTGTGTAGACTTGCAGTTGCACCACATGGTCATACAAGGAGCTTAACAATCACATGCTGGGACATTTAAGGAGACGTGCCCTCACTTTCCTTTCTCCTGAGAATCTAGTTTTATGTTTTAGATAATTGCCACTTGCTTTGTAGGCAAATGCTCAGTTGCTTAATTGAGTAAATGGGATTTCATAGATATCTAAATAAACAATTATGTATTCAGTGCATAACTTATCTCAAGTCAGAAGAAACTTAAGTAAACTTTTCAAAGTATAATTCATGCTCGATGATATTAACATATCGATTACACCCTTTAAATTGTACACTATCCTACACAATTATGTACAAATCTTGAATATTAATCTTAGTTGAATTTTCTTCACAGACAAAAAATAAGATTCTTTCCTGATGAAAGGTTTAGAGCTTTACAAGCTAAAATAATTTTTCTCAGTTGATTACATTAATTTATTGTCCAACAGAACCCAGGACTAGGGAGGCTTGAAACTCTTAAAACAGATATTCTCAAACCAGACCAAACAGTATTCCACTCATAAATTAAAAATCCCAATGGCTATACAACAGCTGACCTGCTGGACTTTGAGCCAAAGCAGACCTGATGATTTGACATATATTTAGTATGAATCAGCTTCTTTCAGCAAATTTTGAATCATTTGGGGCCTCGAAATTAACATTAGGAAACCTAACTGAGAGCAAATTTAATGTACCCTGAAAGAAACACAAGTTTCACCATGGATGTGGGTCACTCTTCCATGGGGTGCAGTCCTTCAGGCACAGCCTGCTCCTGTGTGGGTCCCTTCACAGGGTCACAAGTCCTGCCAGGACCTGCTCCAGAATGGGCTCCTCTCTCCATGTGCTCTAGGTCCCTGCCAGGACCCTGCTCCAGCACAGGCCTCCCACGGGGTCACAGCCTCCTCTGGGGCACCACCTGCTGTGGTGTGGGTCTCCTCCAGGGGCTGCAGGCAGATATTTGCATCCCCGGGGCACAGCTGCCTCACCATGGGCTGCACCACGGGCTGCAGGGGAATCTCAGCTCTGGCACCTGGAGCACCTCCTGCCCTCCTTCTGCACTGACCTTGGTGTCTGCAGAGTTGTTCCCATCAAATATTCTCATTCTGCTATTCTCTGTCCACAATTATATCTGCACAATGATTTATTTTTTTCCCCTTCTTAACTATGTTATCATGGAGGCATTACCATTATTTCTGATTGGCCCAGCCTTGGCCAGCAGAGCCTCTGCCCTGGAGCCAGCTGGCATTGGCTCTGCTGGACATGGGGGAATCTTCGAAACCACCCCTGGAGCACCCCTACTACCAAACCTGGCCACAGAAACCAACATTGCCACACAGAAAGGAGTCATTTGGTCATGCAGTCAAGACACAGCATCATTCGAACAGACTGTGTATGGCATTAGGCTTTTGTATAATATATCTTATGAGAAATTCTGACATTTAATTTTTTCTTTTGGGTGGAGGCAAAATGTTTAAACAGACAAAATGCAACGGTCACAAAACCATAAGGGTGATTCTAAAACTGAAAAAGCTGGTATGAAGGCAAAAACTAGGATGCTACCTTTTGAGAGCACTTGGAAATTACAACACCATGGATATTCTTTCTCTTTTTGGATGTGCAACTTGTGTGAAAATGCATCTGGGAAATATCCTTGATATCCAGTAGTCCAAAGTGTCCTCTGTGTCCTTTAGTACCTACCAAATACACAATACTGAAACTATTTTTCCAAATGGAAGTATATGAAAAATTTCATAACCCCGAACATTATTTTCTACACCCAGAAAACAAACACACTAGCAGAAAATCATTATTACTGTTGCCCACTCAGTCTGCCTCATCCTTCTTTTAGGGAGAGATTGGTAGGGAATAAGAAAGTTATCCAGTTGCAAGACTATTTCATCATTGACCTTTTCTCTAAGACTACAAATAAGATTGCAAGGTAGAAAGAGCTGTAGGTAGGGATTATGGATGACCTGTGATTCTGGGTAAATACCACATTTTTACGAAACTGAAAACAGTTATCAACTATGTTCTGCCACAAAGAACATCCTTTTGTGCATTTTTCTTCCTGGAAAGACAGCAATTAAGACGTTTCAGATGTTAGTTTCTCATAATAATCACCTTCTTAAATTAAAGGGGTCTTAAAGTCCCTGTATGTTTCTATACCTTCACCATGTGATTAATAATTCTAAATTATTAACCTGAGTTTTAATGCAGGCCAAGCACTCAATTCACAAATATAAAAATGTCAGTCAAACCTTGTTTCAAGTATACAAAAGAAAGAATAAAGAGGCTACAAAATACCAGCTCTCCTTTTTTTTAATGATTTTTATATAACCAACATATAACCATTAATGTCTTTTTCAGGTTTTCCAAGGATGTGGCCAACCTAAACCAGCACCTGCCCTGAGATCTTCCCGTTCTGTCCCTGAAAACTTCAACACCAGGTTTAGGCCATATAACCCAGAGGAGCGACCTACAACTGCTGCTGGTACAAGTTTGGATAGGCTGGTAAGGCGAAATATATTCCATCTTCAAATTATTACAAAAGGCTTGGCTATATACTAGAAGGTGGTCATCTCCTGATTTAATGATTTTATAATCACTCTTTATAGTTTCTTTGCCAGCTGTTCCAGCATTCTGTAAAGCTTTTGTTGTTTTTTGGTTTTTTTCCAGTGGAAATGGTATAGGATTTTGTTGTAGGAGAGCAGTATGGCTCAGTTTGTATTAGACTTGTTAGAAGAGAATAAACTGTTTCCTAGCAGCCAAAAACCACATAAGCCTTTGCAGGTACTTTGCAGTATAAATTATGTATCAAAAGTGCTCTATGACAATATTTTATTTTTTTTTATTTTATTTTATAAAGAAGTTATGTATTAAGGCCGTTTTAATCATCTAGTTCTTTAACTTAAACCCTTGCAAAGGCACCTTGATTTGTTTCACTTCTTTACTTAATTATAAAATTACCACTGCTTTATTTCTATCCATCTCAACACCTGACTAATCAGCTAAAACTTCAGTGATCGTTAATCTTGCTTTACTTATTCAATCATTTTGGAAAAAAAAATAACATAAGATCATTTTCTTTACTACCAATCATCAGTTTCACGTTTCAGACTTCAATGTTCCTGCTATTTATACATCTATAGATTAATAGAGGGCTAATTACTACAGCCAGTAGTTATTACCATCCCAGCAATCACCTGTAGGTAAAACCAATGAGCATAAGTGAGGAGTTTCTGATTTTAAAAAGGCTGTATTACATGCCCTCAGCTTATTGCTGCACACTTGCAGAACACTGGTCTGACTTGCCAAAGAGAGTACCCAAATATACCAATGCAGATGAGGACCCAGGTATCTTCTTGACACCGTCATTCATCAAATTCATGTGATTGTCACAGTAGTTTTTCACAGTGCCAAGTCTTTCAAATCACTTCTGTCTATGCTGTGCTCTATGTACTCTCTCCTGTCAATTTTCATGGCAACTCAATAGGAAAATAACATGGCATTTCTAGTCAAGACATGGGATTACCCTGCAGCAAAAAGCAACATTTGCTAGTTCTCAACTTTTGAATTAGTGTAGCCTGGTTATCCTAAAAGGAGAAGCAGAGAAGATGCTTACCTGCATTGTAGATACTACCACAGCAGGATCATAGCGCAGTGCAACATCTCAGGCTAAAAATCTGACTGGCAATACTCAATCTATATTTGATGGGATCCTAATTTTACCCTTTCACTTCAGATTCGGAAAACCAGTCCTTCTGCATTGCTTGGAGCAGAGGCCTGGATCTTAATGTAGAACTGGCCAAGGTGAAGTGAAAGGTCACCAAAGCCTTTAGGTTTCAATCATGCTTTGTCAAATCTAAAGGTTGCAAACAGCTGAAATGGGAGGAAGAGCACAGTAAGGAAGGCGCTGGAAGCCCTGCTCAGCTTGGATTAGTCTGAGTAATGTAAAAACAGTTCAAGCATTTCTGTAATGAAAAATGAAGGTTTAAGATACATTACATATCAACGTAAGAAGAATACTTCTGAACACATTAATATTCTTTTTAAAATACTAACTTGAAAAATACTGAGCAGCACACTGAATAAAACAGAGATATGTCCTAAGCTGCCAGCCTTTAAAGACTGAAAGTAATGAAAGTTGCCAATGCAGATAATTCTTTATAACTTCTAGACTTTGAAAGGGGAACTTATCTCCATATGATTTAACTCGTTTTGTTCATGCATTATTTCAGGAAAAAAACAAGGAGTTTAGTATTTCTGCTGTTAATTTAAAATAGTGTTCAAATCAATTTCCTATTTCCTGTTCTTGCTGATGGTATTTAAAGTAATTACTATTTATGGTCTGTTAATGATGAGTGTTGGTATCAAATCCATCTTCAAATGGCAGTGATGAATGTGTTGTCTCCTTCTGGGCTGGGACCAACCATCTCTCAATTCAGAGATGGCTGCTGATCTCAGTGGAGCTAGGAAAGGTAGTTTATGTGGATTAGAGCAGACGGCCTTATTTCAGAGCTGTAATCCCTTAGCAGCTCTTGGGAAAGGTCACTGCCTGCATCTCACACCATCTTGGGTAATTTTATCCAGAAGGATATAAATGCTACACTCCTGCCTCACAGAAACACCATTTAACCTGTGTTAGAATCTCAGCTTTCCATGTGCTGAATCATTCCCCAAATGACGTATCTCTCTTCATTAACTATAGCCAGAGCTTGGAGGACCAACTTCATTTGGATACTTCCAACCCTTGCATTGTTAACAGGATGTAAGGAGGACCACATGCACAGCAGTTTTCCTGTCTGCACACTTATCATTTTCTGTTGCTTATTTCATATAAATACACTGCAATATTAGTATTTTGTTGGTAATTTCAAACACTTAAAGACCATTTTGATTATTATAGATATAAGAAACAAGATTTTTCTTGTGATTCAGAAGACTGTTCAGTGTTACATTAAGTCCATTCTGGAGTTTGTGTTCATGAAACACTGTCAGACCATTTAATTTTAAACTGTCACCACAAAGTCCAAACATACAGTTACCAAAACCTCAAAAGAAGTGACAAAGCATTCTGCTTTTATCTGTCTTTGACAGCAGAAAAAATCAAGTTTAGAAAATATTTCCTCTGCATTTCAATACAAACATGCAGCATATCCGAACTGAATTCTGTTTTGCTCCTGCTCATATCCCCACTTACAAGCTTAATTCATTTGGGCATATTTTATCAGGTGTGTTGCACAAAGCAGCCCTCATAAGAAGCCTACACTGAAATTACCAGGTACTGAACCCACCTGAGGAAGTGCTCCTTCATCCTTGCCTGAGCTTATGTGATTAATCCAGCTATTCCATTCCAAAAGGAGGGAAAGTGATTTCTCTGTGTTATTGTCATAGCTGTAACAAGTAAGGCTTAACAAATAAGAAATAGATCAAAATTAATTATAAGAAATATGGAAAAATTTAAATATCCTCCAAAAGCTATGGTATATGTGGTTTTAAAGCATCTGATGTATTTAGGAAGTTATGTAGAGTTTGAGAGTCTTGTCTAAGGATAGATGAAAAGCACCATCTGAGACATCCTAGGGTATCTGAAATATAGGACCAGCAGAGGACTAAAGGAGACCAGTAGACTCCTGGAGCAGCAGAGGGGAGCTGGCTTGAGTACACTACAGAAGCTCAAGCAATTCAAGATACTTATGCTCAAACAATTCAATGACATTTTCACAGTACTGGGCCTAAAAGGCTCTTTCTGAAGTCAATGGAGAGAGACATACATCTTTGGAGAGTGATTCACCCCGTCTGTCACAGACATTGCTCAAAGACTAGGAAATAATAGACTCAGATGGAATATCCACATGTAGATAGACAAGATGGACATGCCTCGGAGTATTTAAGTCATCTAACTGAGCTGGAAGATAGAACAGTAATTTGAGATGCTTATGCTTCCCTGGACTGGCAGCTGAAGTCTGGACAGAACACTCTAGTGGATGTTCACTATGAGGCATCCAAGTGGGAGAACAGAACAGTTCTCTGCAGGTTGCACCATGTGAAATTCAGCTAAATAAATATAGTCACCTAATGCTCTTTGAGATGTCTGTGCTCTTCAAGATGTCCAAGGGTGAAAGTGAGATTACAGGAGACTGTTTGGGAGTAGGGTGGAATATATCAGAGCTGCTAAATTCACTTGCTCTGCCTTCATTCAGATAACTGTATTCCACCTTATACTGATTATAACAGTAGCAAAAATGAGGACTTTTCTGATTCAGTGTAGAAATCCACAGTGCAGATACCTAGAACCAGCTACCTTGATTTGAGTCCAGATGGCTGTAATTTTTACTGTTAACAGAGAGAAATATAGGCCTTTCTTCAGTTGTCGAAGCACGGGTTTAGGCACCTGATTTGAGATCATATATTTCTAAAGCACAATTCATTTCATCCTAAGATATAGACTTGAACAGCTCAGAAAAATCTTTCCATATCCCTCTACTACAAAGTGCCAGAAAGTGACAATCTTAGTCCAAGCATCTAGCAAGTACATCTGAAGATCAATAAATTTAGAAATTGTCAAAAGTCAAAATAATTTTAACCACTGAGCACACCTACTTCTGTAGAGCATGATCAAAAATTTCTCATTTGAAGTCAACTGCTTATAAATACTCGTTATCTTCTCTGTGGTTGCCTGTTTGGTATAACCTGTGTTTTATTTTGTTTTGTTTTGTTTTGTTTTTCTGTTCCCTGAATCTGTTTCCCTTTTGCTTCCCAGAGGACTATCTGGAGGACAATGCAACATGGTGTAAGCTTTGGTATTCTTATTCTTCACTTCATTCCCATTTGTCTTTGTACAATGCTGGACAAAATACTTGTATAAGTTTCACTTTCACCATCTTTACTTTGTGTGTGTATCTTGTAGTCCAAAATACTAGCAGTTCTTTCCGTAATTTTGCATTCTAATTTCATTTTGCCCAGTGCCCAGAGCTGCTGTTGCCTTCCAGTATTTTTCTCTCACCTCAAGGATGATGCCTTATCCCCAGAGAGGAGCTATGTGAACTAAAAACTGGTGTAAGCATCCCCATAGTCTCAAACCCCACAGGGGTGTGTGGAGTAACACAGACACTGCAGTAGCATTCGGCTCTGAGTCCTGTGCCTGGAGCAATGGAAATGAGCTCCCAGGCCTTCCTGAGCTCTCTCCCTAAAACTGCCCTTGTCTCGCTGGCCAATCTCCTTATGCTTTACAGCTTCATAAGTTTTTGTGGCTATTAGAGGTCCCTGGTTCCAGACAGAAAAGCTTTCCTCAGCAGAGCTCATTCAGCACAGCCCAAGGGGAAGGCAGGAACATTGCACAGATTTGCATTTAGCATGGACTTAATAGTCCAGCTTCTTAGCAGGACTAATTAGTCTACAGAGAGCACCATGCTGATACAGCCATGCTGTTTCCTGTGTTTGAGCTGCCCCAAGTACCTCTGTATCCACCACATCACTGTACAGCAGTGCTGTCTTAATTCAGCTGGAATTTCTCCCGAGAACATACTGCAGCCTGACCTGGCTGGACGTGTATAAAATAATTCCACATCTTCTTTCAGGAAGACATGGAAGTTTTCTTGATTTTTCACCTGGGAGCTGATGCACTATTAAACATATAATGCATAATGCACATGCATACTATGGAGACAGGCAACTGAGAAATTGGCTGTGGCACTCATGGGTGATTTACATTCACGTATAGTACAGTGGCTGCATAGATTAGTGGACGAGCATGCACCCTGTCTGAGAAAAAACACCTTTTATGCTCTTTACCCTGGGGAGGGGAATATACTGTGTCACACTTTGTGGGAAAATGTTCTTTTAGCATCCCTACTGATTTCCTTAAAGTAAAAGTAGATAAAGTCTCAATTTCCATGAGAAAAATACCCTGAACTACCCTTTTTAGGAATAAATGCTGATGCACTTTAAGTCTCTTTTTAACTTTTTTGTTCCACTGTGCTATGTTTTTCATTACAGTGAAAAAATGTGATGGTAACCTAATAAATCAGTTGTGGGCAACTTTTTCCCAGTGCTCCAAAACTACATGAAATAGAAAATATGACTTTAAAAAAATATAATCTGCTTTGCATTTTCACTATAAAAGACTAAAAGTAACAGGACTGTATTCAGACATTGATCTGAATTGGCCAGAGAATCATCCAAGTCATTCCTAAAAGTGAAGTTTTCATTTAAGTTTTGTTAGACTCTGTTTGGTCCACAATCCTGAACTGTTAAATACATACCATGATAGCACAATATTCCTGGAATAGGTTTTATCCTTAATATATTTTTTCCTTAAGAGACTCCAGAATAAAATCTAGAAGATATAAGTCTTAGAGGGTTTAAAGTTCTGGGATTAATTTTCCAAATATCTTCAGTATACTGAGGCCATTGGATAAGATATGAACCATGAGCCTGTAAAATACATCATAACTCTGGAGTTTTGGGTCACACTCTGAAGGCTGAAGATGACAGGCTTTCTTAAGTGTTTTAGAAGTCCACTGGCTTCCCACAGGCTACTACCCCAAAACCCTTAGACTGCTGTTGGATTTGATAACTCTGTGATGTTATCTGTGTGATGATCCTCCAGTTTTACATTTTGCATGTTTAGATAGAGTCCTATTTCTTATTAGCTGTTTGGATGCAATATGCAAAATTAATAAATATGTTTTACCACCTTTGTTGAGGTCAGTTAGCAATTTGATGTTAGATTTAGGCTTTCATTGGTTGTCCAAAAATAAGGGTTTGCCTAGTATCAAGTTCTGTTTAGTCTCAGTTTCTGTCTCACAGCTATATCTAAGTTTAAGTCCGTGCGATCATTTTTTCCCTCATGGTAAATACCATTTCCAGGTGGCAAAGGTGGATGAATGATGGTGGCTGTCAGAACCCTCCTGGGAGACCTGACAGAGTCCTGTTTTTAAAAATGGTGATATTATTCCATCCCCCAGGTGGACAGTTGTGCATGCTGCTGTATCTGATGCATTGCATTCCGGACGTGCGTGAGGAGGTTGCTAAGACGGAGCTTTGTTACAGTGGTTGCCTCTGTCTTCAGGTGGAATGGGTCTGTGTGCTGCTCAGACCCTGACTAGCATGAGCAAGGCAAGGCCATCTCCCAGCAGGGACGGGGGCCACACGTCTCCACGTTAATTAGTTGTCAAAGAAAATGCACAAATCTTGACTGCCATGCAGTTTCTGCCTTGCCTGAAGAGTGATGTCTCATGAAACACAGTGCCTGCTTGATCATCATCTAAAATGGACTTTTTAGTACTAGTTGAACTTCCTTTACCTGATGGGTGTGAAGACTCACTGAGAGTCATCATCTCATTTCCAGGAAAGTCTTAGGGGTGTGCATGGTACTATGGATGACTGTTAAAGAGGTGAGGTATACAAAACCTGCAGACAGAATCCAGTCTTAATCACCAGACTTTCTGCAAAGATGAAGTAAGATAGATGAAGAAATGGCACAGTCATGGCTCCTCACTTGGTGTATATTGATAAATTATGTCATTGCTGAACTTGTTAGAGTAAAGAGGAGGCTGAAGTTTGCACATCTGTGCCCTAATAAACCAGATAAACATGAACTGGGATTTATTTGTCCTAGCTTTTCATGTTTCTAATGTTGCAAAGTCTGAGCTATCACTTCATTCCTTTACTAACAGATGAAAATAACACCTCCAGAGCTTCCTTGAATTACTCATTTAGAGAAGACAATAATCTGAATTACGCTCTTCTCCCCACTGAGGATGAATATAATCTGGATGATTAATTCAGAGATCCAATTTGTAGATGTCTAAATGTAACCAGACTTCTTAGCATTGGAGCTAGGCTCTATGAATCTGATGTGCACAAAGGAGATTTTGATCTATAAGATATATTGACACATAGTTCTTATCATACTGCTAATCATACTCATTACTGTGGTATCATCAAGTACCTAGAAGGATAGCTAGACTCAAACAAAAATTGTTAATTTCAAGGCTGCACAACTTCTATTCAGTGGAAATTTCACCTTGTAAATCTGGGTTAAAATCTACTTCCTTCCATTTGATGCTTCAGCTTCTGCTCAATAAAGAGTAGGGGTGTTTTCCAATATACAGAAAGTTTGTATTACCAGCCTCTGGAAGATTAATCTAAGCAGGAAATACATTTGCACTGTACTTTCAAAAGGTAGACAGATCACATTTCATTTCATGTGTCTGTGCGTGAATCTGCAGAAGGAAAAATCAGTTCTTAATGTTCTTGCTCATGATAAAGATAGTAACTATATATACATCTTCTACTTTTAGTGTTTTGAGATCATATTAGGAAAAAAAAAATATGGCTTAATAATTTGTGGCAGGGCTTGTGTTGCCACTTGCAGTGCATAAACCATGCTTATTTAGATGCTTCCAAGTAATATGACAGTAACAGTGATGGCTGCCTGCCATCCCTGGAAGGTGTTACACTGTGATGATGAATTCTTCCATTGTTAAGATGAGTGCAGCCAACAAGTTTTAAGTTTTCATAAAAAATGGAGAATTAGAGGGTCCTTTTTTGTGTGACTACAGAACATAAAATGTCTTTCCACAACAGTCAGTTGTGTACAAGTGTAGATGCCAAGCAAGAAATTAAAACTTAGTTAATTTCTGAATTAGTTGCAAATAGTAAATCTCACTCTCCAAAGAAAAGCATGTTTTATGCTTTACTGGCAATTAGTTTTCTCCAGCCTTTGCAGATTATTTTATTTTGTTAGACTGCAGCAGATGGATATATTGTGAACTTGTAACAGGAGTGTGCAGTGCTGAACTCCACTTAGAACAAATAGTAGGCTACAGCAGGCTGAAATTGATTCCCCAAACTAAGCGTCTCATATGTTTTCCTTAGATTGTATTAGACAGAAAATGGCACTTTATGGACTTTTATATGTATTACGGTGTCTAAAGAGAGGTAAAATATAAGGAATAAAATGGTTTATCCTCATTACAAATGGGGACCTTTTTGTGACCCTTCTTTAGTCAAAACCAAATATTTTACATTAGGAAAAATTTCCTGTATTGTTTTCCTCCTCTTATCATCCTTCAATTTTTACCATCCCTCAATCATATCAATGTGTCAGTCTTGGTTGTTGGGATAGCAATACAGGATGCTTCTATAATGCAGAGCTGTATGTAATGTAATGTAAACAGTAAATCTTGAGTGGCTAGTTACAGATGTTTGATGGAAAATATTAATTATACTGGGGAAGGGAAAAGCATGGATTCATCACACCAAATTGTATGCATCATTAACAGAGGACAAGCCTAAGACTGTGCATCTCTGAGCAAACACAACAGCATTTTCTAGATCCTAGGTCTGGGTGTAGACCCTAGCAACCTCACAGGTCCACATTAGGGCAAAATTAGTAGCTAGCATATTACAAATTCAGTAATATGTAATATTACTGTAATAATAAATATTATAAGTAATATAAATTCAGTTGACAGCTTAGTCAACATGGAAAATGAGAGAATACCTGAAAGGCTTCAACAGATCCTGTTCTGGACACTGCCAGTACTGAGGTACACGGTAACAGACAACTCTGCCTACAGGATTAGGATTGAGTAGTATGGACTACTGGCACAGCTGGTTAAGAAAACAAGCACTTTCAGAGGGTAATTCCCAGTCTGATGTAGATATCTGCCAGAGGTTACATGAATAGCTCTGTGGAAGTGCCAATGTTTCTCCATCAGCTATGAAGAACATCAGGCTTTACAAGATATTGAGGTTACAGAGGACTAGAGCTGAGTTAATCTA